CGAAATCATCAATTATTATCAATAAAAAAAAATCAATTATCAATCATCATCTTTAGACATTTATTGTCATTATCAGCATCAAATTATTACAAACACACACACCCTCACACTCTCTCTCTCTCTCTCACACACACACACACACACATACACACACACAGTATGTGTATATTGTTTTATTACTATTAGCCTACCTCCAGATGATGGCAAATCTGTCCCTTGAAATGGCTTGGGGGATGGCCGTTCGAAAAAGCCACTTTTTCTGACGCCAGAAATCTCTACGTGATGGCAGGTCAAGGATCCCCATGGCAAGACACAGTCCAATGACAGTCTTCATTTCAACAACTGTGACCGGTACCCACTTGCTGTTTGATGGAGTTGCGCTCCGTGATTGTTCAGCATAAAGATTCGTTTCTGTTACCAATCGCATCCTCAACTTCTCCGTGAAAACATGGGAGAATACCTGTATCGGTGTAACAACATCTGGAAGCTCTATCTTGATGCCTGGTTCGCGGTTATACGGGATCTTCTCACGAGAGTGAAAGTTGTCAGTCTTCCATTCTTCTTGGAAGCCAACGAAATCGCGCATATCCTCCTCATCCTCTTGAAACATCGCTAAGAGCCACTGCTCTCTATCTACGCGATACATCTAAATCATCTGGTATATCGTCTGGTCCTGTGTCGTCCTCCATAAATTCATCAATATCACTATCACAATATCACTTGAGTCAGTCATGACGGATCGCTAGCACGGTGTTTAAACTAAAGGCCAATTTATACTTCTGCGTAGGGTGCGCGCAGTAGGGACGGCGTAGCATACGCACAGACGCGTCCCATACCGCGTACCCTTCGCCGTCGCCTGACGCGCACCTCTTCAAAAATGTAACTACACGTCGCAGATCGGTGATTGGTCGGCTTGGTAGCATCGCATTTCCTCCTACGCATTTCCGCACGTACCTTCTCACGCATTTCCACCACTGTCTATGATTTCCACACGTACCATCTCCTCCGACGTCTTCTGTCATTTCTGCCTTTCAGTTTTAGTAATACTGTTTTTCCACCTCAATAAGCTCCAACTCCAACATGATCAGCTCTCTTTCAGTCGATATTGCTTGTCGTAACCTAGCCGTGAGGAATCTAAACACAGTGGAACATTAAAACCCTCCGCCGCCAACTAGCGTTTCGGAGCAGTACTGCAGAGCAACCAAGACCTGAACGCAGAAGTATAAATGCTCACAACGGCGTCGCCTACGTGCGTAGCCAACGCCGTACATTACGGCGTACCCTCGACGCAGAAGTATAAATTGGCCTTTACTCTACGTGTAGGCTTATTTCGACCAATCACAAAGCATTTTACTAATCAATAAGAGTTTAAAAAAAAATCCCTAAGCATCTCTGTCACTCACCTCATGAATATGTCAGCCAATCACAGTGCATATAATTGGCCATGTGCCTTGAAAAGACGACACCACTCAAAAATGACGCAGGTGCGTTTGCCGGGCTTAAAGGTCACAACGCACAGATGCGCGATCCGGTCTCAAAGGTAAACACACACAGATGTGTGATCCGGTTTTAATGGGTTAAAAAAGTATATTTAAAAGAATCCTAAAACATTTTTTTATGTAAGTTTTTATACATTTTAAATACAATAAAAAAATCAATAATTCAGTTCATTTAAAAAAGCAACATTGACGTCATAAAAAAAACGTTGCCTGAGGCGCCCGTGTCAGTGGAGTCACAATGACTGCAGCCTGTAGACGGTGCGAGGCGATTATGTTCGCAATTAAGTAGGTGGATGATGGAAAAGTCTCAATTCTGCCTACCCCAGACAGCAAACTGACATTGAATTAACGTGGAAACGACTTCTCTCATGACATCGAAACAACGTTGATCTGACATTGTTTTTCTCATCGAATTAACGTTGAACCAACGTCAGACGCGGCATTCTTCAAAGCTAAATGAAAATCGAAAATTGGTTTGCTTCGTTGAAACAACGTTGATTTCTAGTTGATTTGATTTTCCGTTAGTTTTGAAAGAATAACGCGTCTGATGTTGGTTCAACGTTAATTCGAAGGCAAAACAATGCCAGATCAACGTTGTTTCGATGTCATGTTTCCACGTTGATTCAATGTCAGTTTGCTATCAGGGACTAAACTAATAAGAGGATTTGATGAGTATGAACACTCAGCGGGTATGGAAGAAAAGGAAGTTTACTTGCTGGAGTGGCGTCAAAGAGCCGAAAGTTGGGTGGGCGGATCGAGGCCTTCATAATCAAGATGGCAGATAACTTATCTATTATCCTCCTATACTCTTATACTGTATATCATTATTACTTGTGTGAATATATTATTACTTTATTATTCTGGATATGCTTGTAGACTTAACAAGTCAGTGAAATTTTTTTTAATGTAACGGTTAACATTATCAGGAGGGCGGTGTTGTGACATGCTACAGTCATTAGCCTTTATCTCAGCATTATTTTATCTCATGACAATGGGAGACCACAGTTATGCCTTAATTTATTTTACAATGCTCCACATTTTCTTGCCTAAATAAAACTTTTAAAGACCTTTAGAGTTGCTCAGTAATATTTCTGCCTTCTTATTTCTACTTGTACATTGTAGGCTACTCGAATGGACGGGGTGGTTATACTACAGTAACTTGCACTGCCCGACAGTATCCCCCACTCCACCCCATGCTTGGGATGGTCCTGATTGTACTTGTACACAGAATCTCAACTGCTATGTAAATGTTTTCCTGTTTTTCTGATTCTGAATTAAATACATTAATTTTTTCCTTAAGTTACAGATGTCAAAGACTCCATCTCATGTTTCATTTGCTCTTAAAGTAAGTATTAGCAGCTTTTTCTGTAAAGTCTGTGCCACATGCTAAGCATAGCTATTGAAATATTGACTTTCCTAATAGATTTTTTTTAAACATAGCTATTGAAATAGTGACTTTTCTAATAGATTTTGACATTTATTAAAATAATTGGAAAGAAATTACAACAGAACAAGTTGTACATCATACCACAGCTACATGCAAACTACTATGCTATATATTAAATCTATGTATTTTATGGTATAATTATCCTGCTAGAAGAGCCAGTTACATAGATTACTAGATAAACTTGTATTGTAAACAATTGTCCAGTACTATTGCTAACATATCCATTTTTACTATATTCATTTTAGCCTGTGCCATCAAATGCAGATGTCCTTCATGTAAGTTATGCATTTTAACTATTGTTTTTATTTCATTTTTTACATTTCAAATATAGTTTGTCAAGTCAGGAACATTATTCATAGCATCCGAGTTATTTGAACACGACTGTGGTAGATAAACAATAGTTTACCTAAAATTAATAAATCTCATCATTTACTCACCTTTGTTTTCTCATTTTTGTGTGCCTTATTTTCCTCAGCATAACAGCAAAATATTTGCTACATCCAGTGGTTCTTTGTCTGCTAGTGAAGTAAGTATTTAGTTTTTGCGTTGCCAAAATACATGGTGCAGTTACGAGTCACTGCTTTGTTGATTTTTTAATAAAGTGTGTAAAGGTTTGTAGCTAAGCACTTCCTCCTTTTCTTTATAGTTTACCAGCAACAGTCTGTCTGTTATAACAATGTTGACTTTCATTTTGGTTTTATTTTTATTTTATCTTTTTTAGTGTTCCAGCTAACTATGTAAGTACTTTTTACTGTACATTTTTTTAGGACTTAGGCATAGATTTGTTAAGCATTTCTGTGATGGGTGAAATTGCTAAATAATTTACAGTGATCACAACCACAGGTGGACTTAGCACATGGTACGGGCATAAAAATCCTAAAGCATCAATGGACTTCTGCCCTGCAGGCCCAAACAGCCACTTCAATGGTCCGTGTTCTTTTAATGGCCGCCTTCCCACTAGAGGATCTGATCCCGAGCAATTTGAAAGGTAGACTGTTTCAAAGGCCAAGTAAATTTCTTAGATATTAATCTGAGTAGAAATCTAATCAGAAGACAATTGTGCATGTCCTCTGTACCCTATTCAAATGTTCATGTATCATCTATTGTCTTTTGTAGGGGGAAAGAGTAAAACTGGCGGTTGTTCCGAGAGAAGAAGTGCCTGTGACAAGGAAACCATGGGAGTCATATTTGGTAAATCAAGACTTGCAGTGCGTCCGAATTATCACATACTGTTTGAGTAGATACATTTGTATTTGAATCTACATCACAACCATTAAACCATCTATATGAATGAATTTCGGACATTACTTTTTACATATGTTAATAATGGCCGGGTGTCCACTAGCTGGCACGAAGCAGAGCGAGCATTTTCAATTCATTCATATGGAAGTTCTTGAGCGTAAATCTCAACTTCCATATAAATGAATTGAAAATGCTCGCTCTTCGTTAAGCACGCCAGTGGACACCCGGCCGCCATTAACATAGGCGAGGCAAAATACGCATCAATGGAGGGACAGAAATCTCTCAAATGTTATTATACATGTAATTTTTGTCTCTCACAGTGGCAGTCAAGAAGAGGTTTCCCAATGTGTCCAGAGGAGCTTTGGGTGAATTCCAAGCTTGGGGAATGAAGAATGCTTGAAAAAAAAAAAAAAAGCTAATTTTTGTTATATATTTACAGCAAATAAAGATTTTATTCAAATGTGACATTGTGAATGTATTTTTTTTGGACTGAAATGTATGCAGGCCAAAGTATATTTTTATGTTTTAAAAATAAATAAATAAATATAAAAAATGGCCCAAAAATGTATTTGTAGAAAATATATTTTGAAATATATTTGAGCAAATATATTTTTTTGTCCATTTTTTGTATATTTTTAAATGTATTAAAATTAACAATACTTGGAAATTATCTCCTCATTCACCTTTTAAATAATTTTTTATACTTTACATTTAAATATGTCTTTCACCAAACTTTTAAAACCGAATAAAACGCAAACAAAGGTTTTATATTTGCATGTCAATTTCTATGCACGTCTGTGATTTCAGCGTGTGAACAGGACTTTTATTTTGGTCTGTTGGTATGACGTCATAAGGCTGCGCTGCATCTTTTGTGATTCGGCTGAAGAGGAAAGGTTTGTGTGACTTAAGCCCATTCTCTCTCTCTCCGACTGACTCTTACCAGGGAATTGAACTAGATCTGATTTAGAAACTCGAGTGTTTTTTCTTTCTGTTAATAATTCCCATCTTAAATAGGACGAAGTGTGCAGAAACCCTCCTGGTGAAGCGGCAGAGATCCATGCGACACAATTTAATAAAGATGGCTTATATTAAAGAGGAGAATGAAGACATAAAGATTGTTATTATTAAAGAGGAGAGTGAAGACTCAAGGATTGAAGAAACATTCAGTGTGAAACAAGAAGAAACTGAGGAAAAAACAGGTCAGTTTTATTCTCAAAGCTGATCTCAGTCATTTGATCCTCATTAAAAGTGGTTTTGTTTGACATGGAGCGGCTTACCTCATGTGGACAGACATATTGAGATCTTAAGAGAGTAACTGTGTAAATGATTATATTTTAAAAAATGATTTGGAGTAGAAAAATAATTATATAAATCGATTTTAAATTGAATACTAAACCTGCCTCATGCTCACTTTAAATGTTTATTATTTATTTAAATATCAACTGAATAGCTTGTTAATTGTCTGTTCAATCTCTGTTGTTAATTGTAACTATACATATTATAGCAGTAATGTGCAATAAATTGCTTTCTGTATATATTTTATAGCATTAGCTGAGATAGATTTAAATGTTAATTATAATTGATTATTTTTTTAAGAGACGCAATGTATTTAATAAACCTTTGTTTAAAAAAAATCAGAAAAATAAGCTATTTTATTTTTACTTTCCTTCCCTGCTATACCGAACCATCATGTTACTGTTACAGCCCTAAAATATAGTAAAATTATTTGTGAAACTGGCGAATTGCAATTGTCTCATTACTGCAATCAGCAAACTGTCTTATTTCTACAAATATTTAAATTGTTGTTGAAGAGTACAACCAACTCTATACTCTCACATGGATCACCTTTAACGATTTATTTACTACCTTTCTCTGTATTAATGACAGAAATTTCATTTTTGGGTGAACCAACACATTTAAACAGGCAAGAGTGGAAAATGCTAAGCAAAAAAAAAAAAAAAAATGTAATTAATTTTTTTTATATCATCTGGACTTAGATAAAACATATCCAAAATAATTTTAAAAAATGTGATATATTTTGGATTTTATGAGTTCTGTCTCCTGAGATACGTTGCCTGATTACAGTATACAAAAAGGACCATGTCATTAATCGGTTAACTGTTACTGCACTCTGTCTAAAGGGGTCATATACTGCCATTTTTTTACAACTTACTATGAATGTTAAGGGTCTAAATGAAATCTTTCTAATGTACTTTTATTCAAAATTCTCATTAGTATTTTAAGAAACACTAATTTTACATGGTCAAAATCAGCTCTGTTTTCAGCACGCCGTTTCAGTGCATGTCTTTAAAGGGCATATTGCAGGTTAGGAGGCCCAACGAGTCAATGCATAGAAAAACAAGATTTTCTTTAAAATATACTTGATACAGAAGCTTCTGGAGTCGTTTTTGTGAGAGAATTTTACTTCCGCGTCTGAAAATGGGCGTGGCGGTCGTGACGCAACCAGCGAAGAGCGGTCGATTCACGCAACAGGAAACAATGGGTCGCAATGACATTTCAGACAGAACGGTCAGAGAAAAATTGAGCTGTGATGTGAGGAGAACCAGTGGAGAACAGGGCCTCATTTATAAAACTTTGCGTAGGATTTGCATCAGAAGTGGCGTACGGATAAAACATAGGACGTGCGTACGCACAGAAATATTCGGATTTATAAACCGTGTGCACGCACATCCTACGCATTTTTCCCTTAATAAATCACAATCAATTCTAAATGTAGCGCAGCTTTTGCGCTTTCATGTCATGCCCATAGTTGCCCATAAATGGTCTGT